AGGCTACACACTGTATGATTCCTGTTACATGACATTTGGGAAAAGGCAAAATTATAGAGATGATTAAAAACAAAACAAAACAAAACAAAAAGCGGTTTCCAGGAGTTTAGAAGGAAGGGAGGAGGGCTAAAAAGGCCAAGCACAGGGAATATTGTTGAGTGCTGAAACTCCTCTGCATGATATTCTAATAGGTACATGACACTATATTTTTGAAAAAACCTATAGAACTTCAGCACACAAAGAATGAAACTTAATGCAAATCAAATCAAATGTGGGTCTCCTCTGTGTGCAGGGTCCTCTTTGAGTGCATACTTCTCCCTCCCACAAAGTCATCCCTGATCCTGTTTCATTGATCAAAGTTTGCTTAGTGAACCTGTAATCCCTTGTACTTCTGCTTGGCACAACCGGTATCTCTGAGCAGAGTCTAAGAAACCAGAGACTCCATGGGTCCAGCTGGGTTGAATCAGGCCCTCTAACTGCTACAGCTCTACCTCTGTGGGGAAAAAAAAAAGAGGCTATGCTAAAGACAGGTGCTTATGTGCAGCATCGGGAGACACTGTCAGGGATGGCAGGAAATAAGGTACTAACCGCAACAGAGGCTTTATATGCATGGGAATGGTATGAGTGATCCCCAGGAATATTCCAGCCTAAAAGCAATGAAAGCAGCTAAAGTTGGAAAACTGGGCGGGACTGAGAGGATGTGGACAATGTATCACCTAGGTCCATTCTCCCAAGAGGGCATTGTATCCCTCCATCATTTTAGTTGCCATACTCCAGGATTTCTCCAATTCGGCTCTGTAGCTTTGATACAGTGCCCAACATTTAAGTGATAATTTATGAGATTTCTTTAGAACTTTTTGTTGTTTCCTTTATCACCAAAGGTATCTGACAGTAACCTAAGGATTTTGTGAATCTTCTTCACAGCCAGACACAGATACATGAATATACTTTGAGCCCTGAGAGGCTGCCAATCGTCTTCATCCAGCCAGAATTATCCAATCTTCTCTTCGTTGAATTTTCCAGAATAGAGGGAGACGGAATGGAATTATCAAGATTAAAGCAACCTACATTAATCTGTCCATTATGGAAAGCAATACCAAGAGCTACCAGAAATCTACACATACTAGGTAGGAAATAGAAAGGAGAGTAATCAGAGGAATATATATATATATGCATTGTAGACATTCTCTCATAGTTGAAAAAAGACTGGCTACATAAATGAATGTCTACAACGCATAGAATTCAGAGGCATCTGGGTGGCTCAGTCGGTTAAGTGACCAACTCTTGATTTTGGCTCAGGTCATGATCTCAGGGTCATAAGATTGAACTCTGCAGTGGGCTTTGTGCTCAACAAGGAGTCTGCTTGAGTTTCTCTCTCTCCCCCATCCCTCCCCCCACTTGTGCACACTCTCGCTCTAAAATGAATACATAAAATGCACAGAATGCAGCTCCAAAATTATTTTCATCAATCTTTTAATTTTTTTTGAAATATTTATTGGTGATGGGTATTAAAGAGGGCACGTATTGAATGGAACACTGGGTGTTATATGCAAACAATGAATCATGGAACACTACAACAAAAACTAATGATGTATGTATGGTGATTAACATAATAAAATAAAATAAAATAAATATTTATTGGGACCCTATTCACATTGGCATGATGGTAGATCCCAGGGTCACAAAGAGAAACAGAAAATAAGCAAAAACCAAAACAAGTCAGCAGGGAACAGCATTGCTCTTTGCACCATGACCAGGAGCTATACCTCCCACAGGCAACTTCTTCAGTCAAATTGCTGTAAACAAGATAGATGGGGAGTGGGGCTCAGTCAGAAAACATTAAAAAAGTTGCTTAGAATATAAAGCCAATTTTGTGCTCAAGGCTAAGCTTCTTCGTGTTTGATAATTGTGTTCCTTTACCCAGGACAGACAACAGAGCCAACAAAACCAAAAATAGAGATGTTTTACCATTGAAGTCAATGACTAAAATCACAAACATGCCTGAAAGGCCTGGGAATTTGAATAACAATCCTAGTGGCAAATGGGCCTATAGAAGTTGCACCCCAGTAGCAGATGCAGTGTGTAACAAAAAGGAACAGACCACAGGAAGACCAATCAAAGTACAATGTCAGATGCCTCAAACATCCTCAAACCAGGGAGAAGCAGTAATAGAAAAAAATTCTACACATTCAAATATTAAGTATTTATATCATAGTAATCTTGTTCTGACAATAAGAAAAAGCCCAGGAAAATTCCTTTAGCCAAGTAGAGAGGGCAGCCAACAGAAATTAGGGACAAGCGAGCAGGCTGGGACAGCTGCTTACCCAGTGGACATCCAGTTTGCTTTTGCTCATGGGGCTATTTTCCATTCAAACATGAAGCCAGTTTAACTTTAAATGTGGACAAGTATAAGCATGAATAAAACATGGGAGGCACAAGTAAAATTCTACAGGTCAGGTCAGAAACTGTAAGGAATCCAGTACAGTATATGCTGAGAAATGTAGTTTTGAAATATTTCATATGTACAAAGTATCAGAAAATATGCAATGTGGGTAGGCTATGTGTTATTTGACCATGTTTAGTATTTCTCTTCTTTATTCAACCTGTCTCAAAACAGTATCAATTCAGGGACACCTGAGGGGCTCAATTGGTTGGGCATCTGCCTTCAGCTCAGGTCATGATCCCGGGGTCCTGGGATCAAGGCCTCAAGTCCTGCTGCCTGCTCAATGGGAAGTGTGCTTCTCCCTCTGCCTGCCACTCCCCCTGGCTCGTGGTCCCTCCACCCCCTTTCTCTCAAATAAATCAAATCTTCCAAAAAAAAGCATTATCAATTCAGACATGTTGCTTATCAATAAGGTATGTTAAACTAAAAGAAAGAAAGAAACAAACAAACATAGGAGGCAAAGATATATACCTAAGATAATAGAGAAATGTTTGAAATGCATCTAGAGATTTTTTTTTAAATAAAGTATTAACTATTCGTTGTGAGGTAATAGCTACCCTCAAATGAATTTCCATTACTCTCCTTATGACTGCCTTTCTCCCTGTTTTCATTTATAGGTACCTCTCTTGGGCTTCCAACAGCATTTATAGGGTATGATACTTTGAAATCATGTAGAGGGAGCTTTGCACAATGGTGAAGTGAACACATACATGGCAACACCTGACACTGGGAAACCTAAGTAGGTAATAAATGATCTCTCCCGCATAGCAATCACTTCAATTTCTGGCTAGCACAGCATAATTCTGGCAATTCCCACTTCTATGTTTCGCTCTCTGTCTCTGTTTAAGATAATGCCTCCACATGGGCTTCAAAACAAAGAACTGAGAAGCCAAAGAATCACAGGCTTCCAGGAAATATTAATGTCTGTCAGATCTGTAGGGTTTTGGGGAATGAGGAATGGATTCAGAGGTAAGGAAAAGCAGAGGTAAAGAAATCAAGTAGTTCTGGAACACTCACTCCTGTTTCAATATTTTTTTTTTATCCCTCTCTTTTATCTTTTGGGCTTCTCTCTGATATTTTATTCAGAGGAAAGGTCTAACTATGAAAACAGTCTAGTGATAAAAAAATAATTTGAAAACCCTGGATATAATTTTCTGATGCACTGGGATGTGTTCCTTTTGATTCCTTGGAAAATGTGCTTTAGAATTTTCTAGGTTTATCCAAATGATGAGAATGATTTGTGTTTTAACATGAGGCCAAAAACTACCTGCATTCAGGTGGTTAGTGATCAGGATTCAGTGAGGAAGGAAGAATGAATCTATTAGCAATCTGTCTCTATCTGAGTGCTATTGTGATTAATATGGCATTATGTGGGTTCTGTTCTAAATATTTATTATTAAATACTTTAGAATATTGAGTAACCAGAACAACTTCAGATCTAGTTATTATCTTAAGTGACTTTGAACTTTGCCATACTCCTCGAGAACACAGTCTGGGAAATCTGCTAATAGGCCATCTGTGTGGATGCATTTACTCCCAGAACTCTATGATTTTCATAAAACACAGATATGTATACTGTGAACTAAAAGAAAGAAAGAAACAGTATACAAATGTATATTCAAGAATTCCTGACATTTTAATATTGCATTTAAATATAATTTAATACAACAATATGTACACAACACACTTTTAAGTGTTAATGTTCCTTTAAACATAATAGATGACAATGAGTTTCATGAGTCTCACTAAAACCATAATATAAGTCCTTGCATGACAGGAAATAAGAACTCAAAAATACTGTGAAAATTTATTAGGAAAGTAGATTTAGTAACTTCAATCCTAAACTTTAGTGACCAGATTCTGCTTTTCCTAGTAAATAGAGTATGAGTCCTTCCAAAAGTACTATTTGTCCTAGAGCCAAAGTCAGAGACTTCTACTCATTTTGCACCTGCTTTGCCTCTACTGATTCAAGCTCCCTTTCTGAAGGCATATTCAATTTACTTTACTGATTTTCATTACCTATTCTCATCCTTTGTTCTGAATAAACAACAGAGAATGTGATCGTTCCCTAGGCAGGTTGTGAAGCATTTTAGAACACTTAGCCAAGGTCCCCCCTTGTATGGGCACATATTTACCCTTTCTCCGGGACTGCAGAATGTGTGTCACAAAAGTGTGTGACACCAGTTTTCACCTTGATCAGGAGTCATGGACCCCTCACCTAATAAAGTAAGCTTCAGAAAAACTAATTTATATTGCTCTTTCCTCTGAATGATGCTCATTAAAGGAATAATATAAATTTAATACAGTTGTTTAAATAAATATGGTGGAAAGCTATGTCCAAATGAAGTCTAACTATTGAACATTAACATGTGTTCAGAGTGTTGCTCCCCTCCCCAAACCAGGAAATTAAAAAAAAAAAAATTCTTATATTGTTCTAGAGGAAAGAGGCTTCATAAAGCTTAATATTGAAGAAAACAACTTGTAATAGAAATGTAGAAAAATGAATATTTTTTCATTAATTTACCCACAATGACTTTTTGAAAAGTAATGGTCTTACCTGAATTTAGGTAGAGCAATATTTTCCTTTCTCAGAGGTCACTTCTCTGGCAATCTCAACATTCTGGAGAACAGTCTAGATGCAGAAAGCAAAAGTAAAAGTCCTATGAGCATTCAAAATAGAGGCAATAAAATCTATACACTGAAATTTATTCACTTTATCCATAAGGAAGACATGCATCCCATTTATGTTTACATCATATACATTTTTAACACATTTCTTTGTGAATTTCTAGGAGTAACTCAAAACCTTGTGAATCACCAAGGGGAAAAATAACATCGTGAGTATTTCCCAAATGGCTAATGTCATAAGATTGAGTTCTGCAGAACACATTTTGGGGAAATTGGCTTATAAAAAAAGTACAAAAGCCTATTTGGTAATCTGCCCAAAATAGTATCTGTAAGTAGTCAGCATTTAGATATAAGCTGCCAATACCACAGCCTTTAGAATTAGACTCCAAGTTTAAATTATTGATATCATTTAAAAGCACTCCTTGTGAGGAATAGTCTTTGATTTGATGCCATTATTTTTAATGAGACATAGCTATTAACTCACTTTTATACTGAGGGAGAGAAGGTTAGCCTCTATACATCAAGGCCTGTTAACAGATTGCTAATTCCAAAGGCCAGAATGATGTTTCTGTCTTTGCCACTTCATTTTTAATGATCCCATTTATGTTATTTGTCCTCCCATGAACTCAATCATAGTTTTCAAAATGCTCTAACACTTTATTAAAATGATAAGCAAGTGAAATGTTATATTTAATAGAGCAGTGGTTATCAGGAGAAGTTCCAGAGGCATACAGCTGGCTGCAGAGAAATTGCTGCATAGCTCATCAAAGATATATATATGATTCAACAGATACATCCAATTCAGATCTATACAGAGGCCTATGATTAATAATATATGACTTTTTAATAAGCTCCACAGAGAAATCTGAACCTTAGCCATATTGAGAACCCTAAACTAGAACATAAGCTTCTGGACTATGGTAGGAATAATTCTGGACTGGCTCCTAGATTCCCATGCCCTGGTACATACACTGTATGATCCCTTCCCCTCTGATGTCATGATCGTGGTTTGAGCTTGTGACTATGATGTATTTCCCTTCTGTGATGGGTTTCCATTAGATGACAAACACAAGGGGATTTTGCAAAATCAGTTAATTTTGAGTCAACCAATTTGAGGGAGATTATCTTAAGGTAACCAGATTTGGCCAAGGGAGGGGAGGTCTTACAAAGGGTCAGAGATTCAAACTGGGAAAGATTTTCCACCTTTGAAGAAGTAAACTGCCTTGTTGGGGAAGACCATATACCTAAGACCTTCAGAAGGCTGCTAGTAGGAGCTCAGAGCAGCCACTGGCTGATGCAACATAAAAATAGGGAAATCAGTTCCACAAACGCAAAAAACTGGATTCTGCCAATGGCTTATATGGATTTGGAAAAAGACCCTGGGCTCAGGATCAGAACATAGCCCAGCTGACACATGACTGCAGCCTTGGGAAACCCTGCCTGTGATGAGGGTTATTTTTTAATTCATAAATTTGATGATTCAGAATTATGCATTAAGTGAGAATAATATCAATTGCAGTACAATTCTCAATATTGTATCTCAAGGTACATAAAATTTAAGCTTTTGTTGTTTCTTTAGTTGTTTTCCATGAACTAAATTATTTAACCTGATCCCATTTTCTGCATTTTTTTTTCCTATAGATGTATTCCATGGGTTTTATTTCAGAAATAATAAATATACATCAAACCTCTCCAATTAAAAACAAACAAATGAAACATGTCCTTGTTCCACAGGTCCCTATTGAGGTGCAAGAGTAGGAACACTGCTTAGAGAACAATGTGCTGTCATCACTCTGGCAGCTCCACACCTGGTTTCTGTGGTTATAGAGGGGAACAGGTATTGCCCTAAGCAATTCTTACATCCCCAGGGGCAAGCAGTACCAAGTACAAGTGAAAAAGGAAAAGGAAACCCAATGGCTAAATGTCTCAGTTTATGTCTTTAGTTCACATACTCACCGGCTTCAATTCCACAACCACCCATTGATGTTTACTTTTAAACAGTAGTTGGTGTCTCCACAAAGACTTCATAATGTAACACCACGAATGAAACAAAGAAGCCAAATAAAAATTAAAAAACAAAAACAAAAAACCCTGAACTTGTTAATGCTATTAAGTCTATACCTAAAGAAGGTAAATAGAATAATCTATTGCTTAAGAAAATCCAAGAAGGGAAGGATTCAAAGTTTCTGCCAATTGGGAAATACAAGGCAAAAAAAGAAATTCTAGGGACCTGGTTACCATGTCTTCCCTCACGTTCTGAGTTCACTGACTGGTCTGCCTTTCTATCTCTGCCTTTCCAGGTCATAATATGCATGTTTTATATATAATGTCTAGGATCTTAAGCTGTACTTGTGTAAGAAATGGGCAAAACTTATGCTATTCCAGTTTCTTTAGAACCAGAAATCCAACTCTATTTTTTTGAATTAGGAATTGAATAGAAAATTTTTAAATGAGAAATTTAAGAGAGTACTCATGACTTTACAAACACATTCCTGACTTCAGTTATTCAAGGTATGTCACTTAATACAGATATATTCATATTGACTGTATGCCCTATGCTGGATTTTCATTAATTGTTATTCACTGAAAACACTGTACCACAAATACCATCGAAGAAAACAAATTCAGGCATAAGTGTTGAAAAGTTAAAGAAAGAAAATTAAATAAATGAAATCTAAAGTATTTTTGGAACATTATTCATCTATATAGACATTTTAAACAATCATTACTTAATGAGGCACAACATTATCCAAATCCTACTTGGGTTTCAACATAGGGTTTCTTCATAGACTTGTAAGACAAAGCATCATTATTCAACTGGAAAGTAAGTTTTGATGTGTTTTCAAAACAACTTTTTTTTTCCATTTTATGAACAATAAGAATTTCACAAGTCAGAGCTTTTAAAATGGAATGTTTGTCACTATTTGAAAAATTCTATCAGCTTTGATGTTACAAAAAGAAAAAAACAAAACAAAACAAAACAAAAAAATTAAGCTCTGCTACAACTGATGTCAGCAGAACTGCAGTAAGCTTTCTTCTTGCCCAAACTCACTCCAGCACCCTATTATAGTTAACAAAAGACATTCTGTGTCCTCCAAACATGAGTCTTTTGTTACAAAATAAAGTATGTTGCAATAGAATGACAACCTCAAATTAAACTTGCCAAGGGTAGTTAAAAGCATGCATACTGCAGTGTGCTATAAACACAGGGGTCAGGATTTACCTTCATGTTGCAGGCTAGTAACAGGCATTCCACAATACAGGGGGTAGGAATATTATTAATGACATTTTAGGGTTTTGCTTCAAGAATGCCAAAATAATTATTAATTAATTATTTTCATAATATTTACAGAAATATAATAAGTGACACAGTGATGTTTTCTTGGCTTGCATTTCAAAATACATTTTATAAGATTACTGTGCCAAGGCAATGAGCTGATTTATCAGTCAGCTTAGGATAATAGAGACAGGAAAAAATCACATCTTTCAAAACCATGACAGAGATTGTAAAAAGGGTCATAATTCTTAACTCTTCCCTGTACTCAGACCTTTTGCAATTGGCCCACAGCATCTCCCAATAAGAGTGTCTAGTTCTTTACCACTTAAATCTATGCTGGGCTTGATCAGTAGTTTCCACAAAATGAAAAATATGTTAGTACTGGAACCAGGGCTCAAAAAGCTTTGCATATTTCCACTTTCTCTCAGAACTTTTCCAGTGGAAATAACAAGCCCAGAAGAGCCTGCTGAATGATGAGCGCTCACACAGAGGAGAGACTAATTGTCCCATCTGAGGCCCTGGATGTTTGAGAAGTCACCAAAAGTGCTTATCTGACTCACAGTCAACCACAGAAACATGCAAGAGCCAAGACTAGAGATTCTTAGCTGACTCATAGTCACATAAGCAATAATAACTATTTATTTCTTCATGTTACTAAAATTTTGGATAGTTTGTTATGCACCAAACACTAAGGAATACAACCACAGAAATGAAAAAATTATGCATGCAATTGTACATTTAACAGATACTTTCATGAATCTCATATTTCTCTCATTTACACTGAATTGCTTAAGCATATATACACTTTCTTATTGTATTCAGAGAATATCCTTTGTAGACTTCTACAATGACATTAGTCTGTGAATTATTGGGTGCCTTTCTGTCTTTTGTTTCTATCACTGTCATGAAAAATAAACCTGTATACAATTATTGCAAAAAATCAAAAGTCATAGTCAATGTCCTTCATTGCAGCTACAGAAATCCATCTCTTATCCCCTGGAATTAATGCAGCAATTTGGAAAACAGTTTGCTAGTCCCTCAGAGTGTGAAATGAATGTATAAGAGACATCTGCTATTTCATGTGTTAACAGAGTGTCACAAAGGGAGCATTGTTTAAGTATTTGAAATAAAATGTTACATGAAGAAAATTTAAGTATCTGAAAATGATATGTGTTATAATACAATATTTATAAAGGTAAAACAGAAGAAAATTAAGTGCCATATTGTTTAACCATACATACTTTTCAAAAAAGCAAGGGGAAGGAGAGGATTCTGGCAAGATGGCAGAATAGGAAGTACAGGGAATCTGTTTCTTCACCTGAACAACAATTGCATTGGCAGGGTATGTCTAATGTAATTTTGGAGTTCTGGACTCTGTTTGAAGCCCTGAAACTTCCAGGGGGAAAACTTGGACAATAAATTGTAGCTACTTTTAGCTCTTAGTACAGTAGCTGCTGCACATCTTCCATTCCCAGCCCAATGTCAGGCAGCTGTGCACATTTCCTAGAGCAGCCTGCACACAGCTTTTGGGAGCCAGAGTGAGCAAACAATGACCCTGTCCTCCAAGTATTGGGGATCTGTTTTGATCACTGATTGCTGCTTCTGATCACAGAGGTCCAGACAAAGAGATGGGCGGCCATTGTTGCCATACCTCCCCCCACCTCCCTCCTGGCAGAAGTGACTTCTGAGGGGATTAAGTGCTCTTCACCACCACCTTAATTTTCTCTTTTTCTCCTTTGGGAGTCAGACTTTAAA